GGCGGTCTGAACCGCCACGGGCGCGGACGGCAAAGGTGTGCGACACTGGCGTGGCATCCTCAGGGGATTAAACTCAAACGAGGGTGGCCGGTAATTAGGGATTTAGGTTCTTTTGTGGTGGGGTTGGCACTCTAGGTGCTTCTCCCAGTCGTCTTCTGCCCTGAAGACGCACGATTTCTGCTTTTTATCCGACCTCCATAAAAAATGTCCATTATTATCCATAATTGATGGCATGTTGTCGGCAGTATCGCCTCTTAAGTACTTTCTAGAATGTCTTGCAGAATGCTCAGGCCAAGTTGATTGGCCTTTGACCATCGTAACTCCGACCGCATTTGTACAACTGATGCTGGGACCGGCCTGCTCTGGCTTCATCAAGAGCTTAGAATAAGTGAGAAAGCTTTCATTTTGCATTCCCAAGTCCCTTTTTCAGGAATGTGGACTGCAGAAGGTAAAGGTCCCTCCACCCCTTGGGGAGAGGGGACAGCTCCCCTACGAGTGCGTGACCACGTCCTTCATTAAGGGAGTCTTACCCCCAATATTAATTGTTTCCAGGAGGGAGCTGGTAGCAGAGCCAGAACCTCCATTTCCAGCATCCTTGCTGGTTCCTTGGTTGTGAGTTGGGAAGTTTCTCCACCCTGTGTGCGCGCACATGGAGCTACAGCTTCCTAAAGGGAGTGGAGGGGACCTGCAAGTTCAGCTTGGTGAAGCCGTCAGCAAAATACAGCTCCAAATAGCTCTGTGGCCTGAATCATCTCTAAACACAACGTCATACCTGTCCTAGCTAAAGCCCCAAAGCGATGCCCACCATGAAAATCTCCTTGCTGCCTTGACTGGAGCTCCCTGACCTTCTCTGGCACTGTGGTCACGCTGGGTGAGGCTGGTCCCTCTGGGTTGGTCACCTGCACTGGAGGAAGCCTAAAGGAGGAAGTGGGAAGAGAGGGAGAAATGGGGCCTCTTGCAGGTGCTCCCCAGGGTTTTCCGAAGACGTTTTAATGAGCTGCTCTCCGGTAAAAGCTCCTCTCTGGTTCCTCATCCGTCCTCCCATACAGGTCCTCGTGCCTGCATCTCAGCTTGGGGCATGGGTTCACTGGGAGAAGATGGGGTTGAGGCTGATGGGCACAAGGGATGAGGTAGCACCAGCGAGTGAAGCCATGGTGGCATGTCCCCCGGGGCTAGGGAGAAGCAGGAG